GAGTTTGTGTACCAGCAACCCATAATATAATTAGGGGCCAGTATTCAGTATGGAGTAGGCAACCAAAAAAAGTAAAAGATTTTAAATTGTAAAGTAAAAATTTTAAATTGTTTATAAATTGCTAAAAATATTTTAAAACTTCTCATAAAACTACTGTTGCTAATGAACATGATAATATAAATATAATATAAAATATTTTTAATTAAAATGGGGGAAAAAAAGGGTTCCCATGCGGGGAATCGATCCACAAATATAATATCGTCAAGCGGCCACACTACCACATGACCACACAAGATCTTCTTAGTAGATACTTCCTTCGGAATAATAACGCCTACTAGTCGTCCGGCTGTCACGTGACATGCTCTCCGGACGTATATCGCCCACACTTCATAGACACTTCGTAATTTTAAAACCTAACTCAAGTGTAAATCTTCAAACCTAAAATTTATGAACTAAAGTGAAAATTAAAACCACATGTTCAAACACTACGGCTACAGTTACACACTTTAATTGTAATGAGAAAATCATAAATTTCAATGGAAAGATTGAAATCCTTTTTAAAATATTCAAAATAATTAACACTCAACTTACAGTTTCATCAAATACACTTTTACACACTTTATTACAGATTCCATCAAAAGTAAAATCCAAAAGATGACATAAAATTCAAAATTTATTTTACCAACAAGACACCGGCAAATAACCTCGTTTTTAAATCTTATAATTAACCTTGCTATAAAATATTAATTAAAAAAACCCATGAAACAAAAGCATAACATCTGCTTATTAATATTAAAAAAAAAGAGAATAGGTAACTCTAGTAACAATACCTGACTAAACAAAGGCGAGTTCACTCATCCACAGAAACTCAGGGGACCCGTAAAGCGTAATTTGACCCTAAAGATTAATAATTAACCTAGGCCTTAACTCTTAGTGTCCATAGGTCAAATCCGCATTTTGACGCAGTAAGTTTGTTGTGATAAAATTTGACCTAAGTGACCACAGACAATATTTCATAACTTTTCTAGTAAAATTGGGATAAAAAACAAATTCCTTGCACGTTTGAAAAATATAAACACTGGAAGAGGATGAGGAAATATTGATTTGGACAAAATACCAAAGTATTTATATGAAATCCCAAAATTAAAGAGTCACTATGAAACGCCACATAGACTGGCCTGCGTAAAAACGTGACAGGCGGAAAGCCAGTTAGAATGGCACGTCGGACTTTAAGAGTTAATTAAGTGTTAAAGCTGTTGTAATACTTTAGTTTTATGTCTAAAATTCACTAATTTAATTTAACTAGGCCGTTTTTTGTCGCAGTTACTAATTGAATGACATTATTTAATAATTAATATCTGACGAATGCCCCCCCCCCCCCTCTTTCCCCCCAACTTTTTTTTGCCCTCTCCCCAAATTACAAGGTACAGAATAGACTAAATCAATGCTTATGCCATAAGCTAGTTAATGTGTCTTTCTTAATTATAGTTCTTAGTTTATGCTATTAAGTTATTACCACCAAAATCATTCATTCTTAGTCATAATTCATTAGTCCTATCTGATTCTGTCATTAGGATACAATGAACAATTATAATAATAATTTATAGTCTAACTCACATGTGTCAAACTCAAGGCCTGCGGGCCACATCTGGCCTGCGGGCCACATCTGGCCTGCCATACAATTATATCAGGCCCGCAAGGTCTTGACAGGCCTACAGTTATATCCAAGTCAACGCTATGGTGTTTCCCAATTCACACTTTGCTGAAAAACTTAGCTTACTTTGCTATGAGTTTGCACAGCGCTTTAGTGACTTTGAAGCACTGAAATGTCCATTTCAAGCTGTTTTGTAACACATTTGTCTTAGATGTGGGAACTGCACCTGTAAATTGTCAGATGGAACTAATAGAGCTGCAGTGTAATGGGACACTAAATGCAAAGTAGGACACAGTTGGGCCTGCGCAGCTCACTCGTTACATTTCTGAAGAGATGCCTCAGCTTTGTCTAAATGGGGCTCGAACCTTGAGCATGTTTGATAGCACGTATATGTGTGAGCAGCTGTTTGCTGTGATGAAGATATACAAAACATCACACAGGAGTCGTCTCACTGATGAACACTCCATCATGAAAATCTCAATGACACAGAACATTACTCCCAACATAAACAAACTTATTTGTTTTTGTAGCCAAGAAATGTGCCAAACATTCAGCTCTGACAAATTGGCATAAGAATAAAAATGGGTATACCAATAATTTTTATATTAAAACTTTTGTTTATGTTTTCATTTATATAAATATTTTTTAAAAAATATTAATTTTCCGCTTGTTGAATGTTTTTCCTGTTTGGCCCGCAACCTTACATGTGATTTGAGTTTTGGCCTGCCGAGCGATTGAGTTTGACACCCCCTGGTCTAACTTATAGACTATAGGGTGTTCACTGCATGTCATCATTTCATGACCATTTTGTGTAATTTAAGAGATAGTCTAAATGACACTAACTGCGGGCATAATTCTAAAATAGTTTATTTGTATGTAGTCAGTCAGATTTTATGTTCTTGTGTTAAGGATAGCCTCTTATGGACATTCTTGATTTATAAGTCTACACTGTCAATGACAATCTGAAACTTGAGACTGAAGCTCGGCTAGGATTGGGTTAGTGGTAAAGCTGGTGATGTCTTCCACAGTATAGATGTTCCCCAGTTTAACTACCGGCTATTGTTTAAAAAATTTAAATTCTTTGCTCTGCATTTATTTGATACAAGTTGTTCCTTTTTCGGAATTTTTTATTTCTGTCTTGAAAAAACGGGGAGAGGTCTCCCCTTTCCATAAATAATATCCTTTTTTTAAAGTTTTGTCTGGAAAGTGGTCTCCCCACCCCTTAAAACTAAAATAAAATATAGGCATACTGTATCAAATTCAACATTAAAATCTCTCTCAGAAATATTTCTAGGTTTGTCAAATCATTTTTTTGTGTGCATATAGTGGGACGCTGATATGATAAAATTTATTTGAATTTAGAGAAACTCCTTTTCTAATTGACAATGGAAAGGGTTGGGTAAATCAAAAATTATTATTACAAAAAAAATTAATTAATTATGAAAGCAACTGTCAGGTTTTACTGCCTTATACATCAGTCTTGTCCAATAGCCACTTGGGCATGTGACTTTTGGCTGCCTTTTGCTGAATGTTGTTTGTAGTACCAAGTATTACTTCATCACTGATAGCAAATCTATTTTTTTTTTTTTTTAATGGTTCTCATTGTTGTCTGATCACTTCTCCATTGAGGTGCTGACCAGCCTTCAGTTTGGTAAAGAATCAGTTTCAAGTTCTATTTAATTTGTATATTTGTATATTTATTATAACTATAATTCACTTATCTGGCAGTGATTTCAGGACCCTAAAAAGTTTAACCAGTGAAAGCCATACTTAAATACATTGGATATTAAAAACTTTTTTTTAAAAAAAATGAATACTTTTATGTTATATAATTTAAGAAAGTTTCATTGTTTGATTTTTAAGAGTAAGATAGTGCTGATGTGCTTAATTTAAAGTTTTAATATGTATATTTCAATAAGAAACCTGCGTTTAAAAGAAAAATGATTTCTTTATGTAATTTTATTTTAGTACATATTTAAACCCAAGATAATGAGTCTAAGTATTTCCTTCTGCTCTTACTTTGAAATTTTTCCATCTACAAATTTATAATGTAATGTAATTGTACTGAGCCATTTGTCTAGAAAAGAAGGGATATAAATCTGAATGTAAGAGACAAAACTTTTACCAAGAGTTCTCTACCTTTTGATTTTGAAAGGGCTGTGGTGGGTAAAATTGCTTCAAATCCTAATTAAAAGTAAACTCCATTTTATCTAATGTCAGGCCTAAAAAAAAACACAATCGATTTACCAATACTGTAACCTTTATTACTTAAAATATTGTGAAACATCACTAAGCTGTTGAAAATCTAGCACCTAGATTGCCAAATCTACACTGCCATGTTTTTTATCTCCATTCTGTACTACACTAAATATAACATAAGGCTTGTCAACACAGTGATAAGTTTACTTTTACTGTTGCAGTTGTTTGTTTGTCCCATTGTCTGCTTGTTAACTTTAGATGATGTCTTGACATAAAGATGATTTTGGCAGCTCACCTTTTCTTTTTTTTTTTTTTTTTGAATACCTTTAAAACTTAAAAATAACTGGTGTTACAGGTTATGATTTTATTTATTTTTTTTATCAAGTCGCAGCCATTTTGGAGCGGTTTCAATCAGATATTTACGTCCCATTCATTTTCTTCTTAGAAACTTATAGAAAAACAATATTGCTGTATAATTTCAGTAATATAATTTGTTGTATTTTCTTTTTTTTTTTTTTTTGAATACCTTTAAAACTTAAAAATAACTGGTGTTACAGGTTATGATTTTATTTATTTTTTTTATCAAGTCGCAGCCATTTTGGAGCGGTTTCAATCAGATATTTACGTCACATTCATTTTCTTCTTAGAAACTTATAGAAAAACAATATTGCTGTATAATTTCAGTAATATAATTTGTTGTAATTTTATGATGCAACCTGCATGAAATGTAAAAATAGAGTCAATGCTATAGATCGGCATACTTTCAAACATATTACACTATGTTAAGTAGTGAGTACATTGGAACCATGTCTTTTCCTTAAAAGAATTAATAAACCAAGTACCATGGTCTGCATTCTCTGGCTATTTGGGTTATTAGGTTATAAACAAGGTCGGGTCACAGTGTGTATTGATTTAGTTTTCTCAGTTTTTTCATAGATCAAGTGCAGATGGGGATTTTTTAAATTTACAATACTTTTTCTTTTGGGATGGATAATGAAAAACTTTTTAAAAAATGCAACTTATAAAACCAGTCAGAATCAATAAAGTAAAGTGTTTTCTCACATTTTAAGAAAATGGTAAAAAAACATTCTAGTATTTTTGTTGATGTTTTTTTTTTTTTACATTTCTCTTCATAATACTATACAATTATGCAAATAGAAAAAAGCTCTTTCTGCTGTGTGCTCGGATGTTTAATATCTTTGACACATGAATTGTTTTATGTTCAATTATGCAACATCAAGCCTTTTTTTAAAAGGATTTCCCATCACTGACAAAAGTTATCAACATCAGCACTGATGGGAAATCATTTCAACTCTTGTCCGGACTGATTTTTATGATAACCAAATAGGAATAACTGTTTTAGTTCAAAATTTGTTTTCCAACAGTTAGTGCGTTCATATTTCTTAATCACAGTGAATTTGTAGCTTGAAAATTTTTTTTTTTTTTTTTTAATACTCTTCGGATGTGCATTTGGTGGCTGTGTTAAAAATGTAGACCAAGAATTTTGATTGGGCATCGATTTTTTACTATTCTTTTTTAAAACAAATTTCTCTCCTTGGTTTCCAGGTTGTTACTATTTAAAAGAGTCTCTCATTCATAGATGGAAATAATGTGTGGCTTTTTTAAAATTGTGATTTTCTGAAGATAGGCTTGAAATTATTTTGAAAATGGTTTCGTAATTTCATAATTCTAATTGAAATATTTAAAAGTGTGCACTTAGATACAATATTTTTTTTTTTTAAGACGTTGCAGATTACAATTTGTTCTCTATCATTTTCAACAAAGTTTTTCAAACAGTTGAAATCTTGAAGTTTTTTTTTTCAAGTGTTGAAAGGCAGCAGCAAATAATGTGATTGACTTTTTTAATTTAGACTCTAGCTCACATCAGGATCATAATAGTAATTTTGTTTTGGTTTCGGTAATGAGAATGTTCAAGTGAATGATTTGGCCGATTTAAAAGACAAAAAGTATGAAATAAACCACTGATCATGCTGGCTAAGTCGAAGAAGGAGGAGGTGGGGCCAGGCGAAGGTTTCAAAAACTCATTATTTGAATGTGGTGGTAAATATTCTGACACTGGGGCTAAACCTTCCAGCTCGCACGGAGTCGATTTTACTATTCCGACTTGGTTCGAAGACCTTTTTGAGCATGCTGAACCAAAATCGACATGGGTAAATTTTGTTAGATTCTTAGCTTGTTTGTGAATGGGTATTTGTGAGTTTAAAAAATAACTTTTGTTGTTTTTTTTGTCCTTTATACAGTGGCTCTTTTTTTTTAGTGATCAGCCATAGAGAGTATTAAAACAAACCAATGAGTTGCAATTACCATATCTGATGATATACACTGAAATTATGCAGTTCCTGATGAACTATCCTTACTTCAAACCAGTTGTTAAAAAGTGTTGATTTACATATTCAATGTTGTTGTATTTCCTTCTGTTTCAGCATCCTACATTCAGAGCGTCTAGCAGTTGCGGTGGCTACAGGAAAAAACAGCAGCATTTCTTAGGCATACATCCTACAGGTTGGTGGGCTACTTGTGTTGATCAACTTACTTAGGCCTCTCTTCTCTCCCCCACCCACACCATTATCGTTTGCCCATCGGTTGTTGGCCTCTGCTATGGTTTCAAAAGTAATTTAGCAGCTCCTTTATCTGTAACCTGTGTCTTACATGCCCCTAGATGACAAAAAACATGTTTTTCACCCGAACTCTTTCCTACCGTCTAATAAAACATCCATTCCAGTTTATGACCATTGTTATGTTCACCTTGTTCAATCGAGTGTAGTGCAGTCATTGTATATAATAATTTGGAACCCCACAGTTGCAGTGCGACATCCCCCAGTATTTTGAGTGACAGGAAATGAATATTATTGAATAGCTTAATTCCACAAAAGAACCTGTGCCCCAGATTTCAAAGAGGAAAATGCCCCTCAGCTTGCCTAAAATTTAATGTCTGGCCCTCTAGACAATAGAGCTTGCTGTCCCATGTGTTTTCCATCCCCTGTGTTAGACCCGAAGGTGATATTTTATTTAACAATTTAGAAGTCATCGTTGAAAGCTGTGCCGGCTTGCTTTTGTTTGTGGCCATTGTTTTTAGTTACTCATCAAATCTAATGAATTACTTCTTTGTACATTTTCAGAAATGAATGGAATGAAGGCAGATTCACTTTCTAGTCCCACAGGCAATAATAAATTTTCCTTCTCACGGACCAGTAGCACCGGTTCCATCCCTGCTGCAGGGTGCACATCGTCAGCCTCCTCGGCACAAAACACAGGTGATTACATGTGCTGTGTGGTGCACGGGGTGTGTGTGGTGCCCAGGGTGAATGTGGTACAGGGGCTGTGTAGTACAAAGGGTATGTGTTGGTCCATGGGTTGTTTGGGGTACAGGGGCTGTGTAGGACAAAGGGTATTGTGGTACAAAGGGTATGTGTGGTACAAAGGGTATGTGTTGGCCCATGGGTTGTGTGTGGTACAGGGGCTGTGTAGTACAAAGGGTGTGTGTTGGTCCATGGATTGTGTGTGGTACAGGGGCTGTGTAGTACAAAGGGTGTGTGTTGGTCCATGGGTTGTGTGTGGTAAATGAGTTGGATGTGGTAGAAGGGTTGGGTTGAGGTAGATGTGTTGTTTATGTCAATGGTGTAAATAGCTTTAGTGCCCCCCAGGAGGAGCAAGGACTTTTGTCAACCCCCCTTCCATGACACAATCTCTGCAGATGTGCTGTCTGGGGCCACATTTGTTTTGTGTGTTTCATATCTGTCACTTTAACCTTTTCATACATATCATATAACATGCTTTGTTCTTCTCATCTGTCACTTTAACCTTTTCATACATATCATATAACATGCTTTGTTCTTCTCATCTGTCACTTTAACCTTTTCATGCAAATCATTCATCCTGCTTTGTTCTTCTCCGCGTTCATTTGTAATGTATGTTACATTGTATTCATAAATAGTACAGGCTACGACAGGGGGATGTAAGAAGATGGAAAGCCTTTGTTTGCATAACATATGGATGTCCCATAACTTTAAACAGACCTGTTTACTCTTACGATTTTGGGGTACAATGTGCGATTTTGAAGTGTATACATTATTTGTACTTTATGTTTATTATTTTACTATTAAGATAATGTAATGAATGATTATGTCATGATATTGTACGATTTTAAGTTTGAGGGTAAAGAGTCCTGATTAAATCATTAGTATTCCTTTTAAGTCTTACTCCACTGTCAAATGACCAAAATTCTTGTTTGATTCTATTACAGTAGTGTACTGAAACCAACAAAGCCACACACACACACACTTTTTTTTTTTAAATTTATTTTTAAAATAATATTCAATGACAATGGCGCTATACAAGTCTTTTGTCAGAAATGACCACAAAGCCATGAAATTAATCTATGATCATTACAGAGCCTGCTATTTTGGGACGCTTGTTTTGTATGCTGTTGATCCCATTGGGGTCAGTGGGTCATCGGTTTAAAGGGACCATAGATCAGTCCTTTTTGCCGATGCTCCCTATTGATCCTCCCTCTGGCTGAGACAAAACATTGACAGGGGCAACAGCTGCAGAGAGCTGTTCTGTTACATCTCGAGCTGTATAGAGAGAGACCAGTGCTGCTCAAGCTGAAGAGGGCAGTTCTGTTACAGCTAGAGTTGTAGAGAGAGAGAGAGCAGTGCTGCTTCAGCTGAAGATTGGCAGCTCTGTTACAGCTAGAGCTGTAGAGAGAGAGAGAGAGCAGTGCTGCTTCAGCTGAAGATTGGCAGCTCTGTTACAGCTAGAGCTGTAGAGAGAGAGAGAGCGGTGCTGCTCAAGCTGAAGAGGGCAGCTCTGTTACAGCTGGAGCTGAAGAGATCAGTTGTTGTACAGCTGGAGCTGAAGAGATCAGTTGCGATACAGCTGGAGTTGTGTAGAGAGAGCAGTGCTGCTCAAATAGTAGCCAAGGACTTCGGTCTGTGCCTTATAAAAACCCTATGCACTTTGCTTGAGTGTTGTTTATCAGTTTGAAGATCTTTGAGACAAGAATTCTCTAGGTTCATCTTGTCCCACTGATCCCAAAGTTGTTAAACAGCTTATTTGAGTGGTACAAAAAAAAAAAAAAAGTTTGAGGCTATAGAAAGTTATGACAAGGAAAAATGACAATTTTTTTTTTTTATATTTTAATGTAAAGTTGTAGAAACCTAGGGTTCCTCAAAACTTTGAGACAAGAATTCTCTAGGTTCATCTTGTCCCACTGATCCCAAAGTTGTTAAACAGCTTATTTGAGTGGTACAAAAAAAAAAAAGTTTGAGGCTATAGAAAGTTATGACAAGGAAAAATGACAATTTTTTTTTTTACATGTTAAAGTACAGTTGTAGAAACCCAGGGCTCCTCAAAATAGAGCTACAGATGCTAAGCTTGTTTTTTTAATGATACTTTTGGAGTATAGGGTCTCCATTTTGTAAAGCATCAGAAGTACATGTCTTCTTCTTCAATATATCAAGGGCCCACGATCAATGTATTGATCATGTCGTCATAGTCTGAAGTTCGTCCCCTTAGAATAACCAAGTTCTGTTGATTTTATTAAATTGTCACATGGACATTGTTATTCAAGGTTGGGGCTACGAATTAGCATTCCTTCTTAAAGGAAATCTTTTATTAGAATAATTAAGGCATTGTTAAAAAAATAAAAAATGTGTGTTTTATTCTTGTATGATGGGGATATTTATGCTCACAAGACTAAACAGAGTGGGGTTGTTGTTTTTATCAAAGTGCAGTGGACAAAAGTCCAACTTGTGATCCTGCGGGCAGTGTACGCAAGGAGTCGCCTGTCTTGATTGCCGAGGTCAGAGGGGTCGAAGCACCATGCCCCCTCTTCATGTCTGACATGTGTGCAGGGCATGGCTCACGGGTGCCACTCACTTTATGCTAATGCTGTGGTGGGAGCGATGCTCACTGTCGCCACTCACTCTATGCTAATGCTGTGGTGGGAGCAATGCTCACTCCCCGCGCACTCACCAGATGCGTGATGGACCGATGGCTGCCCCAGGGACCAATCATTGCCACTGCCCATTCCAAGCAGATTATCTGACTCCCTCAACCCCCACCCTTTTTTTTTCTATCTTTTCCTTTATACAATAAAATACTGGGGGGAAAAATTTAGCATGTCCAATATTGATGAGTGTTACCTTACAGCTATAAAAAAAAATGTTTGTCAGTGTTTTGTTTGTTTATAAAGATATTTGTCTCTTGTGGCTCGTTGAGCGCCTGGGGTAAATGTTTGTTTGGAGTTTAGAAGATGATGATGAAATCCATGAATTATAAATAGTCATTGAGCCAATGTTCTCTTGCTATAATTGTCACTTCTTCTGAAAACAAGAATTGATTTAGGTTTTTTTTAAAGACGACTGATGCTGTTTGTTTTTTGTGTGTTTTTTTTTTTAAAATCTTGTACAATAAAATAATCAATACTCTCTGATCACCTTGCTGACTGAATATTGTTACACAAAAAGTTTGTTGTTAAATAAAACACTTTGTTCATGCTGCGCCACATTAATTATACAAGGGGGTATTCAAGGGTAGTTTCATATTTATAACTCAATTTCTTTATTAATAGGACACTATTTTATAACACTAATTTACAACTCACTTTTTTGTTGTATAAAACTAACAAGTTTGTACCCCCTGTTAGATTATAAACAATCTCTCTGAAACATGTCGGTCAGATTATATTAGATTGCTCTCTAATTCTTATTCCCCAGAGGATAAAGACAGTGAGACTAGCAGAGTGCATCCTACACTCTCTCTATTTGTGTTTCCCAAGATGAGTCTAGCAAAGTCCCATTCTACACTCTCTAATTCTTATTCCCAAGATGACAAAGACTATGAGACCAGCAAGTTCCCATTCTACACTCTCTAATTCTTATTCCCAAGATGACAAAGACTGTGAGTCCAGCAAGGTCCCATTCTACACTCTCTAATTCTTATTCCCAAGACGACAAAGATTGTGAGTCCAGCAAGGTCCCATTCTACACTCTCTAATTCTTTCTCCCCAGAGGATAAAGACAGTGAGACTAGCAGAGTGCATCCTACACTCTCTCTATTTTTCTTTCCCATGATGAGTCCAGCAAGGTCCCATTCTACACTCTCTAATTCTTGTTCCCAAGATGACAAAGACTGTGAGTCCAGCAAGGTCCCATTCTACACTCTCTAATTCTTATTCCCAAGATGACAAAGACTGTGAGTCCAGCAAGGTCCCATTCTACACTCTCTAATTCTTATTCCCAAGATGACAAAGTCTGTGAGTCCAGCAAGGTCCCATTCTACACTCTCTAATTCTTATTCCCAAGATGACAAAGACTGTGAGTCCAGCAAGGTCCCATCCTACACTCTCTAATTCTTTCTCCCCAGATGATGAAGACTGTGAGTCCAGCAAGGTCCCATCCTACACTTTCTAATTCTTTCTCCCCAGATGATGAAGACAGTGATTCCAGCAAGGTCCCATCCTACACTCTCTAATTCTTTCTCCCCAGATGATGAAGACAGTGAGTCCAGCAAGGTCCCATCCTACACTCTCTAATTCTTTCTCCCCAGATGATGAAGACAGTGAGTCCAGCAAGGTCCCATCCTACAAGGACAGACGGAGAGAGGCACACACAGTAGCAGAGCAGAAAAGGAGGGACGCCATTAAGGTGGGTGCCCACACGATAAGAAGTCAACTCCATCAAGTGGATCGGGTGCAGCATTCCAATAGGGGAAAATAAGCATAGTTCATACTCAATTTTATTACTGAATGACACCCCCTACCCCAATAAGGACTTGAATGTTTCAGTGTCAATTTATTTAGTAATTGCCCTCATTAATGCAACACTCCCTCCACAAGAGTTTTTACTTTGCTCCGCGCCCTCCTGTTCATGACTAATCACAGTGTAATTCTCCACTTTTCTTCCCTTTTAGCCTGTATTTAATCTCTTACCTACTTATTTTCTGTCACACTTCTCTTGCTGCCCTCTCATGTACTAAATTTCAGCTGTTACATTAAATTTTATTCTGTTTTTACTGTTGTTTGTTCGCTGATGAAGGCTTCTTGCCAACACGTTTGTTGTTTTGTTGCGTTCCTTTTTGCAGGTTTTCCCCTACTTTGTTTCACTCATTCCCNCTCACTACCCACCCAATCCCTCACTACCCACCCAATCCCTCACTACCCACCCAATCCCTCAAGCTGGACACATTGAATATTTTATATTCTGCTATTCACTCAGTGGCTGAACCCATCTACTTTCAAGGTCACATTAACACACACACAAGCAGAAAATGTTGATTGTTAAAGCACCGGCAAGCTACATGTGCAGCGTGCACAACAATCTTGATGTTTATGACTGCCGATAGTCAACTTACTCTTAACACCCATCTGACTTCTGAGATTTCAAACGCAAAAAAAAAAAAAAAATTCCATTCCCAGAAAGGCTATGATGAACTCCAGGGCATTGTGCCGACCTGTCAGCAGCAAGATACACTGGGCTCCCAGAAGATAAGCAAGGCCACGGTGCTGCAGAGATGTAAGTTGTTGCTTGTTCTCTCACAATGAGAATGTACACCACTAGGCTAGCTTGGAAGCTGTAACATACTGAGGTTTGGGAGAAATGATAAGGTTGGGGGGTGGGGGATTCGAGTCATTAAGCTTAAAATGTGCTACTTGCCATAGTCTTTTATTTTTTATTTTTTTTGTGATTTCCTCATAGTGAATAAAATGCTGAAATGGAAGGGAATAAATTATGGCCATTCATTATACAAAAAATTGTCGGTCCAATTAGATTTTAGATGGTTGTGGGTGATTTTAATGATTTACTTTAATAACCCCCAACAATACATATTTAACATGTTCTGGGGTGTCTCTAGGCTGCACTAGACCATAACAAGTGTCCATCCCCCTTGCACACAAAAGTTTAGAATCCATGGCTTACAATTTGTCAATGACACGGAGGTCAAGTGCTTCTCAATGATACAAATTGCCAGAAAAACATGTTTGTTATTGAAGCAATGGCCTGATTGTCTGTGGAAAAAATTAAAAATAAAAACATGATTTGTTTGTAAAAAAAAAAAAAATTAATTTGAAGAAAAAAAAAACTTGAAAGAAATCCCTAGGCTGAAGTGATAAAACATTCCCTTTCAGCCATCGACTACATGCAGTTTTTGAGCAGCCAGAAAAAGAAACAAGAAGAAGAACTGGAGTCGCTGAGGAAAGAGGTCATGGCACTCAAAATAATGAAAGCGTAAGTGTCCATCAAAGTGATTACACCCCCCCTTTGACCCATGTTTGTATCAGGTCTGGAAGCATTCATGCTGTTTTAGTCTTCACACAAATACATCCATCCACAACAAACTGGAGAAAACCAATTTGACCATGACTAATATCTTTTTATTTAAAGGCAAGGGAATGAGAATTTCTGTTTTAAAAAAAGTTCATTGAGGCATTTTGCAGTTTAAGTGAGATGTGAATTAATATTAAATTTATCTTTTCTAAAAATATTGTCCTTTGCCAAGAATCATCTCACTAAAAAACAAATGATGCTATTGTTTTGATACAGAGTTGTAGCAATTACCGTATTTATTGGCGTATAACACACACACACACACCACACACCCCAATTTAAGAAGGAAATTTCAGGAAAAAAAACTAAACATTATATCGGCTTAGAACACGCACACGTGATTTGCCCCCTATTTTCAGGGAGAAAAAGTGCGTGTTATACGCCAATAAATACGGTAGTTTGGGTGTGGCATAAGTTAAAAGTAATTTGAAATGAAAACTGAAGATAGAATTTATCAGACTTTTATCCTATTTAATAATTTAATATTGCAGCAACTATGAACACATTGTGAAGACACATCAGAGCTCTCCGTCCCATGGACAAAATCAGGTGTCGGATGAGGTCAAGTTTCAAGTGGTCAGTATTTACGGTTGATATGAGCTCTTCTTTAGTTGTCAGACATGTTGCCTGGATCAGCTCCATTGGGAGACCACTTGATGGCCTGGACTTCAAGGCAAACTCTAACCTTATTACAATCTCCATGCTCACCAGAAATGTCTTTTAAAAAAATATATTTAAAAAAAAAAAAAAAATCTAAATTATGGCACAGTTCTGTTTTTATCTTCCTCTCTAGCTGATGGTAAATCTGTTATTTAATGCAACTCCTAAGGTCTGAAAATGTGTATCATGTGAAGATGGAGTCAGTCTGGTTGTTTTTGTTTTTTGGGGGGGGATATTCCCTACCTGCTTTAACCCTTTATAGGTCGAAGTAAGAATCCACATTTTGTTGGTTTGTTTGTTGACAAACACAAGACTCATTTACTCCCAAGGCTTCTGTTGTGTCTGCTGCACTGCTTGTGGTTGGATGACCTTTAACCTCTGCTGCACTGATTGCTGATGCAGCCAGGCATTCTCATTAAGTAACCTTCGGTCTATCAACGAGGTTACAACCTAATAATTTATTTATGATGAAGTTACCATGCTGTGGTGTCAACTCTCTTTTAATTACTTTGAGATGTATCACTAAAGCACCCAAAAACTAATAAGTCCAGAGACCCATACAAGTATAGATATTCTGAGGGCAAATTGGACAAGAATCATATGGTATGAATGTTGGAATTCTGTGAGCTGTGGTGAATGAATATGACCTTGACCTTTCAGCTGTAGGAACAATTGCGCTACAGTTTATCTTTCATCAACTCACGTCCACACTAACTGTTGGGTCCTTTTTTTTTTAATCATCTGAGTTTTTCAGACACTTGAAACATAATTCTTTCAGTTTCTTATTTGAGGGCACACAATCAATTTATTGATCATTTTGGCTCCTGGTTTGAATTCAGAGTTAGCCTTCTCTTAGATGAGTTGCCCTCCAAGGATAACGGGTCCCATCCATCCGGGGTGATTGGGATTTCGGCTTTGGCTGTGATTGAGCTCCAGACCACCATTTGGAGTGAGTCAGTTTACACCACTCGGCCACCCAGCACCCTCACTATTATTATGACTTTGAGTAATGACAACGAGACTATCTTAGTGCCAGCTCCCCTATCTTAAATATTGCTCCCATGAGTAATGACAAGAAGACTATCTTAGTGCCAGCTCCCCTTTCTTAAATGTTGCTCCCATGAGTAATGACAACAAGACTATCTTAGTGCCAGCGCCACTATTTTAATTATTGCTCCCATGAGTAATGACAAGAAGACTACCTTAGTGCCAGCTCCACTATCTTAATTAATGCTCCCATGAGTAATGACAATAAGACTATCTTAGTGCCAGCTCCACTATCTTAATTATTGCTCCCATGAGTAATGACAAGAAGACTATCTTAGTGCCAGCTCCACTATCTTAATTATTGCTCCCATGAGTAATGAAAGAAGACTCTTCAAAATCACTTTCATGAAGAAATGATTCAAATAAATTCGGCTTTTTGCTTTGGTGGGCCAACATTTCTCAGAAAATGTCACCTCCGTTTTCAAAATTTTAAAAATAAATACATATTAACACATGAATTATTTCCCTTAGTGTTTTATAATTAATAAGTAAATCTTAATGAGTTATACTTAAGATTAGCATTAATTTTAGTAGAGACTAATTATATCAGATGTAGCACCATAGAAGCAGCCCATAGGGCCAATGATTGACTGTTCGTGGCTTAAAGACTAGCATTGCGGTTTCATTTTTGTTAATTGTAAGAACTGGGGGTGGTCAGATTTTGGAAACAATGTCTGCTTATACAAATTATTCATCTCATTATTATCAACATTATAACTTTCAGTTCCGCAACATGATGGACTCGCTGTTCCAGTCTTTCAATGCGTCCATCTCTGTGGCCAACTTTGCTGAACTCTCTGCCTGTGTCTTCAGCTGGCTGGAAGAATATTGTAAACCTCAGGTAACGGGAATACTAACAAGGATTATTGACCTTTTTTTCTTTAAAAAAATATTTAAACTTCTTAAATGATGCAACAAGTGACCTTATTTTACTGTAATTAATATTTTATTCATGTGTAAAGATTATCTGAAAGACTTTAGTGATGTTTAATACAGTGAGACTTTGGTCATGTTTTACACAGTGAGGCTTTGGCCATGTCTTGCACAGTAGATGTGTGGAAGTCATTGATTTAAAAATGCTGATATGTTTGTTTCTCATTTCAGACCCTGCGAGAACTAGTTTTGGGAATTCTCCGGCAGGTGAACACAACAATAAACAATCAGTAACATCAAGAAATCCTGCCGATAAAATATTTCAATGATCATTGAGTGTGTCGATTCTCTGATGTTAATGATAATTTTAATGTAAATGTGTCTGACAAATTTAATGGAGACGTCTTATAGCAAACAAGTTAACTTCAAGTGGAGCACAGTAGAACCTTGTATTGCATGCATAATTTAGTATAGAAACTAGTTAGCAGTCCAAAGCACTTGTTAGTCAAAGAGATATGCCCCTTAACAAATAATGGAAACTCAGATGATTCATTCGACAACCCCAAAAAATATTTGTATAAAAATGATAAGTGCTAAAGACCTTTCTATAGTTTTACCATTTAAACTGAATACAAAAAAAATTATTAAAATTTGTTCATTACATTAATCGTAGCTGGTGTGAGGGAGATGAGAGAGATGGGGGTCATGAATCATGTCGGATGACTCTCACTGTAACTAAAGTCATCACTACCATCTGTTGGTGCTTACAAAATCTCGCGCTGTTGCTCGTTCTCCAAGACCTCGCTTTTTTATCAATTTAAAAATTTATTGAAACATTTTTTTCACCCATCTTATAAAAACACTTGCGGGCCAAATTACTTTCAATCCTAGTTGTATTTTTTTTTACTGTACTGTGTTCAAGTCACGGCTCTTTTTCTTCCATTTTAAAAGCTAGAACAGAGGATTGGCTATTTTTTAACATTATTATTATTTTCTTTTGAAATTAAATTTAAAGATGGAACAGTTCTTTTCACACCCAGCATTTTATAGGAGCAAAATTAACTAGCTGAAGTTAAGACATAAATCTGTATTATTTTTTTATGTCCAAATATTTACAGCATGTTAGTGATTACTTTGCTGCATAGTTTTTCATTTTTGTTGCCATTTTTATTGATAAAAATACTGTAGTTATTTCATTCATGTTCTATGTAAACAAAAAAATAATCAGATTGAAATTGTAAAAATATTTTTGAACCATGTTACCTATTAGATTATTCCAAGTTAAATTCAATTTAACTCCTTTTTTTAAAAAAAAATTTTTTGTATTCCACTATTTTCCTCACATCTTGATTCCATTTTCATGTCTTGTGTATTCGTTAACATTAATCATGATTATTATTTTTTTTAATACCTGTTTGTGGTCAATGAAGTACTTATTTAGTCCCAATGCGTGGAGTGTATGAATGACCCAAGTACAAGGGCATACTTAATTGTGTAACAGCGTCATGATGGAATCTGTGAGGGTTCACCCTGCAAGTCTGCGATGATGTGTCTAAGGGGGGGGGGGGGGGGGGTGTTTCTTTTGTTCATTCTATTCAGAGAAAGGAGCTTTTCTACATTGCTTTGATAAATGTTTGGCTTTTGTTGGATCACTGTTGAAATTCTCTGCATTTTTTTTTTTTTAAAAATTGTCACCAAGGGAGGTAACCTTTGGTTTCGACAAGAGTTGTTATTTCCAAAGGAAATGGTCCAGTCGGCTGCAGTTTTGTCATGTTTAAATAACATCACTGCCGCCCCAATGTCATGTAATCGTCATCCTATCAGTGATACATGATCTTTTATGCACTATTGCATCTCAATGGTATACCCACACATTGCAAATTCGAAATCTCTTTGTACTTTTTTCATCATAGCATAAGAATTAACCATAATTTGGCCACATGGTTTTTGTAATTTAAAATGAGTTGTAAATTTATATTTGTTTAAAAATGTAACAGAAATCTAATAGGAATATGCAGCCTCATCATTTATCATCTTTCCTCAACTACAATTATATTTATTATATTGTCGTAATTTATTGACTTCCATATAGAATAAGCTTTTAAAAGCTAACAATTATTTTAATTACAAAAACTGTTCCTATATGTCAGGCATGCACAACTCAAAATGTAAGGTGGGCCGTAATACTTTATGAAAAATTTGTGCGGGCCGAAAAAAGTAGCGCAGTGGGGAAAGCTTTTAAGAAAATAATAACTATTAAGAATATTTTTGTTACTTCACAGGGCGCAAAGTGGGTGCTGGCGGGCCACATGTTGTGCAGGCCTGCTATTAGCTATATGCGGTTACAAGACCTCTCTCATCCAGCTGATTATAGAGTCAAAAGCTCAATTGTTTTGTTTTTTAAACTTGCCACACAAAAAAAATCATTATTTTATTTATTTTTTTTTTTTTAAAGTTTTGGGATCAAAAATTCTTTGATAAACAAAAAATAATTTATTGTATATTTTTATTCTGTCTTTCACTTTTTAGTAATCTCCCTTGTGCCTTGCATTCAGCATATACTTTTTTTTTAATATGGGGTTCTTTAACGTAATGGGCAAGTTTTAATATACATGTCTTATTCACCTGAGCTGAATACTGAAGATTTTTATGATACACACAAGTTCAGAGTGATTAGGCTGAGTATAGTACAACCCTTACAAATGTCACCTTGAATGCTAGCTTGCTGGCTGTGGCCAACTCATGCTTCCTAACCCAGAGAGCATTGCAACACAAGGCCAAATAACATTAATGAAATCTTGACACGTCCATTAACTAAGAATAAATAGAGATATAAGTTAAAAAGCAAGTAATTTATCATGGGTGATTTTTAATGTTTATATATAACATAATGAAATATTTTTCCAACTAATTGAGGGTTTCCCACCCTGGGGTGCACACCCCCTGTAAAGTTTATTGTCTAAGCTCTACAGTTTCCTTTGCAGTTTTGTAAATAAATTAGAAATTCTTTATTTTCACATTTTATAATGTTACTTTTGTAGCGGTGCAAGACTTAGTAAAACAATTTTTAAAAGGCGCGAGACCCTTCAAATAATTTTTAGGAGTGCGGAGTACAGAAAAAATCTGGTTTTACGGGCTGTTTTTTTTTTAAATTTGTTTTTGTGTTAGGTTTTGGTTATGAAGAAAGGGATGGGGAATTGTTGTTTTTTTTAAGACATAAAAAATAATAAAACACCCATAATGCAAGCAATTTTTGATTACATCCACATGGAAGGACTTAGTGGTCATGTGCTGTGTTCTCTAGGTAAGCTTTAAAAAAAATTCATGCTCCGCTCTTTTAAGCCCATCATGACAACTATTTTAATATATGTATATTTTGTACATAAAAATAAAGAATGTTCAATTTAAACAATCATATTTTTATCTAAAAAAATGTGTTCCCTGTTATTTCTTTGTTATTGTTATGCTGTTAAAGAATATACCAAGAAGACTAAGGCTTTAAAACTATGTAAATTAGGATGTTATGGCGACAAAATAAATTACCCCCTTTGATATTGTTTTTTATTCGGTATAACGAGGGAATATGATACACCCCTTTACAAAGCGATTTTTGTCAAAGTCAATTTTCAAGTCTGTCAGTAGGTCCATCCTTTTTTCCATTAACCAATTGCTCTAAATTCATAGGGAAGTTAGGGAGCCACAGTCAGTGTGACACAGTAGAGATACCACCAGTCTAGTACGGAAGTTAGGGAGCAACAGTCAGTGTGACACAGTAGAGATACCACCAGTCTAGTACGGAAGTTAGGGAGCAACAGTCAGTGTGACACAGTAGAGATACCACCAGTCTAGTACGGAAGTTAGGGAGCCACAGTCAGTGTGACACAGTAGAGATACCACCAGTCTAGTACGGAAGTTAGGGAGCCACAGTCAGTGTGACACAGTAGAGATACCACCAGTCTAATACGGAAGTTAGGGAGGCACAGTCAGTGTGACACAGTAGAGATACCACCAGTCTAGTCACACCCCTCCCTTTCTCAGGATTCGTAAATGAATGAAATAGCGAAACGAGGTATGTGGAAGCTTGAAATAAGATAACAGGACAAAAAACAAGGACGTTTCGGCATAAAGCCTTCCTCAGCAGTCCTTTCATTTATTTCAGGATTCTTACCAAGCCAAAAATTATACGTAGCAACAGAGGCGTACCAAGGGCACCCACGGCAAAAACTACAACTGCCCCCACCCCCACTTTTTCACTTTTTTTTTTTTGCACCCTCCAAGGGGGGAAAATATTTTAACCTGGTTTCATGTTTCTCACTAAGTGCAAGTTAAGAAACTTAAAATGACAGCCGTGGGGGGGGGGGGGGATATTTTTTTAATTTAAAACTTTTTTTGCTTTCGTCCCCCCCCCCTTTTCTTCCCCACAACCCNCGCAGCATAATATGTCAAAGAGGGGGTCGCTTGAGCCCCCTCCCCCCAAAACAAGAAAATAATTATTAATTTCAGCTGCAGAGAAACTCGGATATTTAAAGGGCTCACTGTAAAGGGTCCCCAACTCTACAAACGAAAATTTACGGACAAATAATTTAAAGCCTCAAATTTTGTACGGGCAAACTGATTTTTGTTTACGGACCCATTTTAAAAGACGTAAGAACAATTTCTTTTCATTTTATCGGACATTCTTTTTTTAATTGACATGCCATTTTAATGTCAAATTTTTACGAAAATCTTGGCCCGCCCCTGGCGGCACCAATGCCTTGCTACGACAATGGGTGCTCGCATTCCCAGTGGGTGTGGATTTTCTTTGAGTAAGTAGTAAGGAAAAGTGATTGGAAGAACGTAGACACTGTTTTAGCTACTTTTAAATTTTGATATAAATATTTGTTGAAGTTCCTCTATTCTATGTATTGTTTTATGTCTATTTCTAAGGTCTACAAAATAAAATCATTCTTTTTTTCCCAATATTAAAAATAATAAGGATTTTTTTTTATGCGTCACGGAGAAACGGTTGGGAACCCTGTTGAAAGTTCTGCGTCATATTTATAGAATGATCCCCCCCCCCCCTTGTAAATAAATCATGTGGGCGCCAGTGCCCTCGATACACCACAGCGCAAAAACATGGTACTACAACGCAACGATGCCGGAACGAGACGAAAACAACTAACAACATTATGAATTTTCAACATCTTACTGGGTGACAAGGGTCACGTCCCTTTATTACCACTCTTTGTCCACAATCACGGGCGTAAGAAGGGGTGTCGCACCATGCTGCACTTTTTGGGGGAGGTATAGTCAGTCGACTACAACGAATTTTAAAAAATATGATATTTGGTCTTTTTCTTTTAAAACTTTAGTAAAAGGACACTATAAAAAAAAAAATAAATGAAATTTTTGTACGGGTATATGATCCATGTTTGATTTGTGTTCATTTTCGTTGTGAGATTTGTTTTTGTTTTGTTTTGTGAGTGAATCGCAGCAAACTCTAGGACCACCCCCAAACCCAGGCGTGCCAACCCCTCCTACCGTGACATATTTAAGTTTTAATTTCGTATAAAATGAACTTAAATATTTTTTTTTTTTTAAATGCCATTAGTAAGTATTGAAGCATTGAAACTAGCTTTAAATCACATATTGTAAGGCAGGGGTGGGCAAACTACGGTCCGCAACTGATATAATGCGGCCCTCGAAGGCATTTAGAAATTTAAAAACAAAAATTACTCTGTTTTTAATTTTCAAGTTATTTTGTTGAATTTTACAGAAGTTTATGTACCGTTTTCTTCTTCTTCTATATCTTAGAGCCCACGATCAATTTATTGATCATTTTGGCTCCTATGCATGTAGATGGGATTTGCAATGTTTCTGTTACTGGTGGTGATGAGGAAATTATGCACTAGGGGTTTGAAGGCTTGATGCAATAGACACAAATGTGTCTAGTNGTGGGCAAACTAGGGCCCACAGGCTTTAGATATTATGCGGCCCCCGAAGGCATTTAGAAATTTTAAAAAATTACTTTGTTTTTAAGCTATTTTGTTGAATTATACTGAATTTCACGTACCGTTATGATTGTTTTAACATTTTTTATCATCTTTCTTTCTAATTTTCTTTTTCTTTAACAGTCCCTGACTTTTGTCATGTAATGCTAAAATGCAAATTTACTGATTTTAAAAAAAAGAAATGTTTATCGACATAAAAAAATTGGACATAACATACCTGCAAACCCCCCCCCCCCCCATTTGTCAATGTGGCCCTCCGCACAAAAAGTTTGCCCACCACTGTTGAAAGGTAAACGACCCTTTTAAATTTGTATGATAAGTGCGTAAAATATATAGTACTAGAATATATTACCCCGGGATAATAATGACTGGAATTTTGAGACATTTTCTATTTGTCTACTTGCTATATTGCGAAAACTCATCAGAATTACTTTTTTTTAAAAAAAAGTATATTAATGATGTTTCTGTTTCTAACATCATTTGCGTCCCTGAACTTAATTTTTTTCTCTAAAAATTGTAAAACATGACCTTAAATTTACAACAAAAAATGTAGCCTATATGCCTATTTACCATTTTAAATATATTTTATTTGTAACAATTTTATTTCATTTTCTTGTAAGGGCCCATCCATATTTGACGTCACAAAATTTTTTTCCCATTTTTCCCCCCCCCCCCCCCCCTCTCAAAAAAAATTGCCCCCCCCCCCCCCCCCCCCCCCAAAAAAAAATACGCAACCGCTTGACGACGTCATTCATGGATAGCCCACTAATGTTTTATGTAATTTATGTACATGACTGACACTTTAAAGTGAACATAAAGTTCTTCTTAATAACTAAGAGATATTGAGTATTAATATCATAGGCTACAATTAAAATTATGATTTTATATACTACTATTATATAGTATAAATATATATAGATTTAGTTATGGGCTAACATTAGATTATTAAATGCTAATAAAGACACTTAGAGACTTGGGCTAAGAAAGTTGCAATATGGCTGTTTAAAATTTTATTTTTAAAATTTTATATTTACATTTATAAAACGTGTCAGCTTATACTAATTGTATACTGTAGACGTAGAAAAACATAGAAGAATACGGGCTATTATTAAGGTGACTATAAAATATCCAAAATTTTTTTTTGTTTGGTTCCAGACATTATATAGAACTAAAATGGTACGTGATAAACATCATTCTGTTATTCTTTAAGTTAAAGATATAGGTCGTGGAGAATCAGACCATAGGAAATAAACCAATCAAAAGCCTCTATTTAATGCAGGCGATGAGGAGAGGAATTACCCTAGTGACGCATTTTATCAGCTGTTATGAAACTAACTTTTCTATGCCAGGCTGAACGTGTGAGATTTTTGTTTATCCAGCTGTAAAAAATAGTTAGGAACAATAAATAGGCGCAAAATATATATTTTGATAAATTTCAATTTTATCCGATCTGAAACACTTGAACTGTTCTTACAAATTACAGCAAGAATCCTACCATCTTATTTTGTTAACGCATTTTCGTTGTGTAAGTTGTAAGTTTGAACGAATCCTGGCATTGAGCCGGCTCAAATTTTTTTCAATTTATTTTTTAATAATTTTCTAAGCTGCCGCAATGGAAAACGCGACGGTTCCACTTTTAACTCCTGACCAGTTTCTGGATTACTTACCAGAAAATCCAGTCAAAGAGTCGTTTGCAAGGGCATGGATTTATATGACCAACAATTACACAAAATTTCAGATAGCAACATGGGGATCCTTAATTGTTCACGAGGTAATACTAATATTAGTTATTAGTTTAGTAATATTTTTCTTTGGCTTACGGCATAGGCTATGGCCATGGCTATACTAACTATAACTTGTCTATTACTATGTTATGTAACACATTGAAGTATTTAACACTTATGTCCGTATAATTACCCCATTTACCCTTTAGTTTTAGTCTTTTGTGTAATCTTAGAATATTTTAAACACAATTTAGGCATTTCTGACTATAGTGTGATTGTGTACTGCTGGGTAATCCCTTTTAACGCGATTTATTATAATTACTTGTATTGACATTTATTTTTACCTCATGGAACTTCATTAAAAGTATTTTTTAGGTAAATTTGGAGAGATAGCACCGTGGCCGCCAACTTGGTTGCCTCGATACGCGAACTTATGTCCTAACTAAAGTAAATGTATCCCTAAACCTAACCTGGACCCTAGCCCTAGCCCTAAATTAAATCTATCCCTAAGCCTAACCTGAACCCTGAACTTTTCCCTAACCTGAACCCTGAACTTTTCCCTAACCTGAACCCTGAACTTATCCCTAACCTGGGTTTTGACCCTATCAGCAATCGGAACCAGAGCTTTGACCCTATCGGAACCAGAGACAAAACACGCAAATGACGTCAGGGTGCTCTTCCGTCTTCAAAGATACATTATTAAAGTTGCCCCACTGGATTTATCTAGATTAAAATTAAAGTTGTATTTATTTTATTACTTTATTTTATGATGTCTAAGTGTCCGATATTTCTTTCTAAACCAGTGGTGGGTTTAGACAATTTTAAATATAAGTATCTCATGCTCTAGGCTAGGCATCTTGGATATCTGTAGGGCATCTGTTTTGTTTAATACTAATACTTTTTTTAATACATCTGCTGTCATAGCAACAAAGATGGCGGCATTGTAAAAAAAAAAAAAGGAAGTGCCTAACAACAAAGGGAAAAGAGGGAAAATGGATAGCTTAAATTTACCAATAATAGGAAAGCTGATTCACAAAGTTTTCTTTGTTTGGGTTTTATTTGAACTTTATTAAACTCTAGGCTAGGCATCTTGGATATCTGTAGGGCATCTGTTTTGTTTAATACTAATACTTTTTTTAAAACATCAGCTGTCAAAGCAACAAAGATGGCGGCATTGAAAAAAAAAAAAAAAGGTAGTGCCTAACAACAAAGGGAAAAGAGGGAACATGGATAGCTTAAATTTACCAATAATAGGAAAGCTGATTCACAAAGTTTTCATTGATTGGGTTTTATTTGAAATTTATTAAGCTATGACACTGATAATCTCAGACTAAAATTCTTTTCTTTCAGCTCATATACTTTGCAGCGTGTATGCCAGGCATTATTTTCCAGTTTATCCCTTTCATGAGACGATTCAAAATACAATCAGTGAGTATAAATAATTATGTAGATTGTATTTTATTTTTTTAAAGTTATTATTACAAAGTTTACATTGGACATTTCTGAACCAAGTCTGAATTTTGCGGTCACTGGCCACCAATAAGTCTGTCATTGTTTAGAAATTTGTTAGCGGCTTCCAGAACTTAGTTCATCCTGGTGTGTCTTGTGGTCAGAATTTTTTTTAGAGGGGGCTGAGGTTTTTTAAACATGGATCCGTAGTTAACTCTTCTATCGTTTCACCTAGGCTTAGAGGATCTTCTTTTACCGTACTAATGTAAGCTGATTTTTTTACTTTAGGATATTTCTACAATTTGTTGTGAGCCAGAACAAAGACAAAGATGCTTCTGTTTATCCATATTCTGAAAATGAATGTGTAAATTGTAATCAAAGCACACTTCCATTATTTGGATCAATAACAGAAGCTAATCTTATCTTTTGAGATTTAACAAAAATAGTCCAATTCTGGAAATGTGGGTTTTATGTTTCATTTTTTTTTTGCAATTCTATCAGAATCGCCCAGAAACATTTGAAGGACAATGGAAATGCTTTAAACTTTTGATGTTCAGCCACTTCTGTATACAGGTAGGTTACATATTAAAGTTATGCAACATACAATGCCATTTAATAATTTGTTGAAAAAGGTTCATTTACAGTAATTGAAGCTATGCCATTAAGAACTACATTCCTTGGCCGAGGTAGAGGGGGGGCGCTCTCACCCATTGTAATTTGTACTTTAAATGTTGTTGCTGAGACAAATAAAACTTAGTTACCGGTATATGAGTATTATCCTTATTTTTGAAATACAAATAAACACCTCCCTCGAAACTTATGCAGTCAAGCTAACTTTACCATGGATAACATTGCACCACAATTTACTGCTAAATGAGAGTGCAGACAAACAAATAAAACTGGGAGCATCCAAAAAGCAGTCAAAAATTCATTAATTGCTTAATACTGCTAAGCAGATTATCAGAGCTAACAAAAAAAGAAGAGTGATTGTTTAAATGGATGAGCTATAGGCTCATCAGGAACAGGTAGATGTGTGTTCACACATGCCCAGACCCCAAATATCCTATTAATTGGCTCCAAAGACAGAACAGATCATATTCTTTTGCCTGCACACAGGACACAAACAACTTAATTCTTACCTTAACCCTTTACAGTCCAAACCTATTCAGCCTTGTCTACTCCCAGCGCCCAAGCAAAGGGACATAACTCCATTTTAAATGAAGGTTCTTTATCTAATTAATTTACAGAAAATAAATTAGAAGCAACAAAATAAAATAAAAAATACCTAAATACAAAGAAATTATTAAAGCAAAAGTTAAACCTAAAAATAGTTTCAGAGACCCTCCCACTCATGAAATAGTGAAGCTTCATTAGGCTTAAGTTCTTTCAAAAGTGTATCCAAGGCTTAGATAGCCATTTTATACAGTGAAAAAATCGCGACTTTTAAAACAAATCATAGAAAATCAGCCCCTAAACACACCGCGGTCAAACTAGTATAAAAATAAATGCCGACAACGAGGCTTTCTTCCGGTAGAACTATAAATAGTAATGCGCAATGGATTTCCGCTGTGCTAAGAACGAAAGCAAACAACCTCAAAACGGGCGGGTTTGGCCACATGGGGCTGTACGCTTAAGGGAAAAATTGGCGCATTTCGGGCGCATCGGACTGTAAAGGGTTAAACACATAAAACCAGATATATAACCCCCCCCCCCTTCCCCCCCAAATTCAGACACCCAAATGAGACAGTAACACATCACCTCAGCCACTGTCCAGCTATTCAGGACTAACACCTTAAATATCTATCCAAATACCAGACCTAACTAACACCCAGAAATAAACAAAGAACAGCTGTGTAGAATTGACAAATTCTTCAACATTGCATCTGGTTGAGGATTTTTGAAACCATGAAAGAATTCACATACTTTTTCCAGTAGTTTTTTAAAGTTATTTTTTAGGTAAAAACATTTTTTTATGTTACTGTAATCCAATGTTAAAACAATTAAATTTGCATCCAGGGAAATAACGTAAGCTGTGACCTATTGAGAAAAACTTCATGACATTTTTTTTCGTCCATTCGTTATTCCAGTGTTATCTGTGGTGTGACTTACTAAATGTGATTTAATAGATCTTTACTTGCTTGTCCTTTATCTTTAGCTTCCATTGATGGCAGGCACATATGTTTTCACGGAATTTTTCAATATACCATACGGATGGGAAGAAATGCCACCATGGTTTGTGTTATAAAATTTAATTTAGGCAGTTTTTTTGCTAATATCTGATATTATTTAGGAAAAAAATACTTTGAATATAATACTATATTGACAAAATTGTTATTATATCCGTCATATAATATTATGATTATAAAATACGTTTTTTAAAACACATGAATCCAGCCCTAAGGTTAAATTTTCTTGAGTACTGATTAATTCCTTTTAGTTCATTTATACGCTTTTATCGTCAAGCATTTTACATATCTGCTAACCAGTATACATGTATTTCACAACATTCTCAGGGACACAGACATTCTTACATTCTTAATGACCCATGTCATTAACTGAAATTTTCCAAATATATCAATTAATTAATCTTTATTAATTAATTAATTTATGTGTATCATAAATTCTCCAGGTACAATATTGCACTAAGAGTTTTTGGATGTGCAGTTATTGAAGATACCTGGCACTATTTTCTTCACTCGGCCCTTCATGACAAGAGGATCTATAAGCACATTCACAAAGTTCATCATCACTTTCAGGTGTGTGAATATTATTTCCTCCTGGACAGATTTAATGAATAGCGATAACTGTCATGTTTCACTAATATGGCAAACATACGTTAAATTTTTTTTGTATACGAACTGGACAAAGGGTCAGAGCAAAAAAAAAATTTTTTTAAATGTGTTAATTTTTTTTCTGTTGTCAATATAAACTAATTTTTTCATGTTATTTTTACCATCCTTTGTAGTCTCCGTTTGGAATGACAGCAGAATATGCACATCCAGCTGAGACGCTAAGTAAGTAAAGCGTTCAAATCAGTCCTTAATCTCTTTTATCATTAAATCATATTCTATGTGAGTCTTGATAAAGGATACATATTTTAAAGTCGTTGCTTCATTGAAATAAAAAAATACATAATTTTTTTTGTTCTTTTTATTATTTTTGTGGTGAAAGATTGGTACCATTCAAGGTGTTAAAATGTGGTTAATTAAGTTTGTTTCAGATTTTTTAATGTAAAGTACTTCTTTTAAAAAGCTTGTCAACAGAAATTTTATAATTTATTGCTGAGCTTTCCGAACATTTTATATTGTTGTGACAAACAAATTCAGTTTTTCTAGTTAAATCATAATTTAAATCATTGATTATTAAATCCTCAAAAATTCATTATTGAATTAGTGAATGAAAGGATCATAAGATGTTGTGTCAACCATATATAATTATCTCATTAATACCTTTTTATAATTCATTTTTTTTTTCATTGCTATTTTCAACATTGTTGATTCTTATGTTTTCAGTTCTTGGCATGGGATTCTTCTGGGGTATCCTGCTCCTTGCCAACCATGTAGTTCTCATGTGGGCTTGGGTGATGATTAGACTTTTTGAGACTATAGATGTGCACAGCGGTTATGAAATCCCATATCTTAATGTATTCCATTTGGTGCCCTTCTATGGAGGTGAGTTGTGGTACATAAAGGAAATAGTCAATTTATATGAAATTCCCTTTTCACTTGATCCTTAAATTAAGTTAAACACAGCCATTATGAGAACATTCTAAAATTCATAGTTTTAAGGTTTTTAAAAAATAATTTTATATCATTGATTTTATTTTTGGTAAATAGATCAGTAGGTAAAGGTTAAGTAGCTGTTTCCTTTTAACCATTATCAGTTTGCATAATATCCCAGACTTATGCTAGTTTGTAATATGAGTCTATATTTGGGTTTGTAATATTAATATGTGTTTGTAATATGAATCTATGTTTATGTTTGATATATGAATCTAAATTTGTTTCCAGGAGCCAGATATCATGACTTCCATCATTACAATTTTACTGGAAACTACTCTTCTACATTTACATGGTGGGACAAAATTTTTGGCACAGATCGTCAGTTTAAAGAATATTATGCAAAACTTGAGGGGAAGAAAGAAAAGAAACAATAACGTAAAGGCCATAGCTTGGGCACAAAATTTCCTTCAATTTCAATATTTTTAGCTTTGCACAGCTCAGGATAAATTTTCTGTAAGAACTAAGTGTCTCAAAAATCCTGAATAGCCCCATTGCTTTTAAATGCTTAGCAAAAATTGAAGCAACATCCCATGGTGGAAAGAAAATTTTAAATAGATGGTTACAAATAATTTAAAAAAAACAGAGAATTTAAACAAATTAATTTATGTTATTAAATTGACCTTGATTTGAGAACCGCTGACTAGCAAACCTCATGTTTTATTATTTACTTTAGGGTTAAATGCTGAATGTTTTTGATTAAAAATTTGTCTAACACATTGAAAAAAGAACAAATGGCTACTTAAAAACTCTAAAATGAAGCTTTGCCTATCGCTGTAAACTGATCAAAAGATGACAACATGGTGCAGCGAAGACATTTGGATATTTGAACCAGATCAGCTGGGGATTTTAATTGTTTTAAAAAACTAAACCGCTAATACTTGGTTAACAATAATCAAATTCCATTAGTTGCTGAAGGCTAAGAATGATTCCAAACTTTTTTGGGAATCCCTTAAGTAAGTGATGAAGTACTTGAAATAAAACTAGAAAATTATAGAATGAGAGTGAGCTCTATAGCGAAAGTACTTAAGTTAGGGGTACCACTTATTAGCTGGTCTAGTCTGGTTTGAGTCAAAACGTAAATATTATTTTAAACATTTTAACATATATATTTATGATATGTAATTTATTATGTTAATAATTTAAGACTACAAGATAGGACCACTTTATTAAAAAGCTTTTTTAATTGATTTGAAAACCACAGATGATTGGCTATGGTTGTTTAATTTAATCTTACAGTGAAGAGTATATCTGAATGCTTCCAGTCAAAAGAATATTTAGGAGTAGGGTATTATTTTGTATTAAATGTATACAATACTGTGTATATATATCTATGTTTTTTTATATTATGTATGTGTACATATATTTATATATATTGAAACATCTAATAATGTGCTTATAATTTTCTACAAATTTTTTGTGGTATGCATGTCTTATTTAAGACTTTGATTTATATCTTCCAGAAATATTATCAGTCAGAATGGTTTCTTTTTTCAGGAACAGTTTTCAGTTAAGATCTACCATTATCATGGTTATGTGTAGCACAAATAAGTTGAATTTGGACATTTTCCCTTTGTTCGTGCCTGACTAGTCCTTGTCAATGTAGTATTTATGAGTTGTTTAAATGGTCAACATTCAAGAAAATATTTTTAGCTTCAGTAATATAACACCTTTTTTTTTTCGTTACCTCATTACACTGACTAATTATGAAGTGTGTCCATTATTATTTTGTTAACTGTAAATTTCCTATTCTTAAATGTAAGCATCTTGACTTTATGTATTTTTTATTGCAAGATTGAGAATTCTTATGAAAAACACCAACACCTTTTATGTGGGTTGCTCTATCTTTTTATATCAATAAAAAGTGAAGCAAAGGAATGCATCTAAGCTTACTAGGGTGGAATTACTTTCTGCTCTTGGTTACAAGGTATTAAAAAACTTACCATTATTTTAAAACATCACAAGATCCATTTCTTTGTTTGTTGTCAAGTTTTGGGTGTGTATTCACTAGTTATAAGGAAGGAATACAAATATAAAATTTTTATGAAGATAAATTGTAAAATCAATTGTAATTTATGAACAACATTGTCGACATGAGACCTAAAATTATTAAAACAATAAATTTCTAATACCCTTGCCATTATTAGTGAGATCTTTTTTCTATTTGTAGACTGAACAGTTAATTGTGGTTAAATTACTAATATTTTTGTGTACGGATATTTTAATGTTGTAAATGAGTGTGTGATTTTATGAAATAAAGCTTCATTTTTTTTTGTTTCAAAGACATTCTTAGTTATTTTCTTCATTAGACTTTTAAATTTATGTCATCCAAATTAAAAGTGACACACTTTATTTAACTATGTAAACAAAATTATTTAAATAATGTACAAAACACAATAGCCTTTAAATAATAATCACCATGCATTTTAAAACTGCACCCCCCCCCCTCTCCTCTCTCTCTCTAAATGCTGGTTGTTCTTGTCAGGTTTGAGGTTTTATATCCACTCTGGAGTCTTTATTGTTATAATCTAAAAAAAAAATGTTTTAATTGTGGCTGTTAAGTTGGTACTTAAGTTAAGTGGGTACTGTATTTAAGATGGTACTCTGGTTAAGTGGTTAAGTCTCAGTACACAATTCCAGCATTAATTTTATATTCTTTTTATTTGACCATAAAAATTCATGTAGTTGTCCAGCAGCATATTACTATCGGACATGTGCCATTCCGCCAACCACCATTCGAGGAATGTTGCACATTGAATATTATTTTATAAGGACTGTCTTTTAGTGTCTAAGGTTTCTAATATTGAGTAATTGTTTAGCTGTGGCTTAAATTTAAAAAAAAATTAAGCTTAGTTAATATTCAGTTATTAATGTGGGGATTTTAATTATTATCTTTAATAGCATATTTTGTCGGTCTGGATTGTAATGAACTACAACTCTGTTACTTTTTTTCCACCCTTTAAATCACATTTACAAAAACTTGATAACGTAGTGATATTGTTTGTGATCCGATTCTTATCTTTGAGTCCTTCATTTAGTTGGTTCAAATCCCAGATGAACTAGTATTGAGCTGAAATTTTGCTAAATATCATATCTGTACACAAGGTTCATCTTTAAATGTTGAAATTTGGCTGTTCTTGAATCATTTATGCATGTTGTTCTTAAAACATTATTGCCCTTTTTATAACATTATTTCCCCTTTTGTAACAAGTTACAGTTAAAGAGTGGGAAACTTGAGCGACCCATAAGCATGTTACTAATTTGAATTTCAAAAATCAGGGCATACGTGTTGATCAATATTATAAGATCCTCTTGAAATTTTTTAGAGGGTTACTTAAAATTAATTTAATGTACTGGTAGTAATAGTTACTTATTTAGAATATGTTAAATATTCTATAATATATCTTAATCCAGATAGCACACAGCAGAGTTAAACTAAAATTAGGAAATTATGAAGCAATGAAAATTATAGAAGTCATTAAGTAATTACGGTAGTAGTATTAAAAATTCGTTTTGTTTTTTTTAAATCCACTTGTTGGGGGGGGGGGGAGGGGGGGAAGAGGCGGCAATTCATTTGAACAGGGGTCATAACTCATAAATCAGGTGAGATTCGAATTATTTATTGAGTTATTTATCTTTGTACCCATTTCTATTTTTGTATTGTTTTTTTTTTTTTTTAAATAATACTATACATTTTATACTATTAAAATAAATAATAATTGCTTTACAATTTAAGACTAAATTATCTAAATAAAAAGTTGGATGTTTTTGGTAAAATTTGAGAACTGTAACAGCACTTAAATAAAGACAAGTCTACAGACTTAAACTTTACTTAAGCCTAAGCACTAAATATTAATATGACTTTTCTAGACTGGACAATTATTATACAATTTCATAATTAGAATAGGAAGCTAATTAACATATCTTTACAGTAAAATGTAAATATATTACATTTTAAAACATGATAAAACATATATTAATAATAAAGAGTAAAAAATGTCTAATCATGATGGTCAATCTAAGCGCAGGTTTATATTTGATGATGTCACGAAAAAAGAGTTCTGCTTCCTCTATCCTCTGACGTCATTCGTCAATAGGCTGCCATTTTCTTTTTCTCTTTCATTCCGTCAATTTACCACCATGTCGTTATCAGAAGTAAATATATCAGAATTTCGGAAATAACTTTGTGGACTTGGTATGATTATTTATTTTCAATGAATAATTCAATATTATTTACAAGCTAGAAAAGTTGGATGTTTGTACCATTTAAGTGATCTTTTAAAATATTCTTTCACTGATTTGGGCGAGTAGAGGTAAGTCTGGTAGGCAAAAATTTGGCTATTATTATCAGGCCATGCCCATGCCCATAGGCCTATTTAGTATTCACTGTGGTCTGCAATCGCAAGGCCCATATCATGTGTGACTTGACTTTCTTTGCATATTCTACTGTATGAAATTTAATGCAGTAGGCCTATAGTCTACACTACTAATTATTTACTTAAACTTTAACAGTAACAGTATTCAGTATTATTAAATATAATATAATATTCATTGATATATGAAAACATTGTAATCAGATTGATTGCGTTGGATGATGCTCATGAATTTTGAATGGCAAGGCATACTACTCATGCTAGACGTAATATTAAATATTAATTTATCAACATGACTTCCACATCAATCACATGTGATGTTTAGTTTACATTTATCATAATTTATGATTCAACATCGACCAATTACTAATATTAATATTAACTAACCAAACAGATATCCATTCTTCAATCAGACTAAAAAACTATTACTACTATAGCAATCAGTCCATAGCTGGCTTTTCTAAACTCACAGACTGTAACAGTAAGAAGATGGGGACTAGACCTAGACTAAAATGTGGCATTAGCAAGCCTTGCTCTTTTTTGAGACTTTGTCTTACTCTTAGCCTTAGTAGTCACTTATTATTTTTTTGGGGTAAGTCACCGTAAGTCTATGTCAATTTCAGAGTGTTACTGTTAGGCAGGACAGGGCCTATTATGCCTATACTAAATAGTAATATATTATATAGGAAATGTTGAACAATATTAACTTATTGTCCATGCTGCCATTTCTATGTTTTTTTCTTAGCAGAATTGAAATGTGAGACATACACATAGCCCTCTTAGTCTTAGACTAACTTTTAGACCTTAGTGGCCTCAGCCTTAAGCTTAGCCCTGGGCAGCTTGGGTGTTGTCACTGTCAGCGGCTAGGTGGCCCTAGGTGTTAATATGGCTAGAAATTTTGTTCTCAGCAGGTCATTTGAGTTTTTTAGTTTATATTATTTTATTATACATTATAGTGAACTCTTCTGTGTTTTAGAAAACAGAAATTCACTCTTCCCAAACTGAGCAAGCATGGTAAATTTAATAAATGGCAAGGCACAGTGTAAAGGCTTACTGAACGTAACATATAATCCAAATTTACCATTGGATTAGTAATGGGCAAAAGGCGTAGGCCTACATACAAATATATTCATTAGGCTATAATTAGCGGATCAATTAGGCAATTAGGGAATAGTCTAAGACAAGATGACTTAACTTAAAAATAGGCAAGTAGACTAAATAATTTTAGTAATTTATAAAAAAGTAAAGTAGATTAAGTCTTGTCTTTTGAGTTTATGTAATTACTAACTTCATCAAAAGTTTTTCCTAGCCTTTGTTTAATGATGATGCTTAATCATATTTTAATTGGGCTACCGCCTTCAAACTCTGTACTTCAAATTTTATTTTGCCAAAATTCAATTGCTAGACCTTTAGTCTCGGAACAATTTTTTGGCTAAGGAAGCCACAGTTAAAAAAAATGTCCAGAGCCATTAATTAAATAAATGACTAGGGGACTTGGCCAACAGGAAAAGAAAAACTGATTAAAAGTTAAGGGACTCAAGATTATATTATTTATTATATTTCTCACAGCTAAGAATTTATCAGTTATATGAGCCTATTTATCTTATTTAATTGAGGTGTACTTAATTTCTTTTATTTTTCAATGCTTTTTGTTCGTGGCTGGCTGGCAAAATCTTCAGATGGCTAATAGACCCACTTCCCATCAACCAATCGAGCTGAAACATGGCACATAGACTCATTGCAGATGACAATACACTCAAATTTTCAGCCCCACCCAACCACCAACAATCAGTTTTTCCTGTTTTTCAATGGGAGAATAAAATTAAATTCTTGATAACTGCGCTAAATGATAGTCTTTAAAAAAAATATTGCAATTGTGCTTGGTGCGTAATACAGACCTGTTTACTCTTACGATTTTGGCGTACAATGTACGATTTTGAGGTGTAAACATATATACTGTATGTTTATTTTTTATTATAAATATAAGGTATTGAACGATTTTGTGATGATATTGTACGATTTTAAGGGTTTGAGGGTAAACGGGTCTGGTAATATTTTATTTTGTTTTTCTTAAATAGTTGTTGCAATAAATCTCCTGTGTAAAAATGGGTGGTTCATTAGAATAATATTAATATTTTTCAGGGGCATGAAAAAAAATGTGCAGTTGCAAGCCTTGGGGAGGACTATTTGAGATGCTTATAAAGTGCCTTACTTGTATGCATGCTTTGTAAAATTTTCAGCCCCACATCCCATAGCTCAATATTGCATTTCATTAAGGATTTATACAAAAACTTTGTTTTTAGGGGTCTTTTAGTTAACGTATTCAAAGCATCTAAATGTTAACAAGCAGTTAATCCTGGGTTGCGGAACAGTTTTCTGATGTCTGAAATTAGTTTCTTAAAATTATCATCCAATTAAAATGTTCTACAAAAATTACTTGAAAATATATAAATCACCCTCTATGCCTTCGATATGCACAACCATAAAATAAAAACAATAATTTTAATTGAGATATCAAACTCATTGGCAGTTATTCTATCAAAATATTTAGCTTCCGTTGAGTGTTAACAGAGATCAGACTATAACTATGCATGTTGAAATTATTCTAAAATTTCAATGATATTCATCCCACTCAAATTATAAGGGAACAACTTTTTTTCTGAATTATTTCCCTTTCCCACTCCACTCACACTTGCAGCGACAAACTCTTGGTAATTATATAAAGTCAACTCTAGTCTTAAAAAGAAATTCGGGTTGATAATTGCTTTCTTTTAATGCTTCATTTTTTACGTTTTTTTTTTTCAAATTCAGCACCTTATAACTGGGTAGCTGGAGTGTTTGAAACTCGAGGACAATATTTCTTTTTACGTTACAACACCCCCCCCCCCCCCA